ATAGGATCTTGTTAAATTGCCAAGCCTGGCCCCAAACTTGCAATCCTCTTTCCTCAGCCTCCTGAGTCACTAGAATTACAGGTATATGCCACTGTATGTGGCTTCATCTCCTTTTTTTTTTTTTTTTTAATATTGTTTTAGATGTTGCTAGACATTTATTTTATTCATTTATTTATATGTAGTGCTGAGAATCGAACCCAGTGCCTCAGACATGCTAGGCAAGAGCTCTACCACTGAGCTACAACCCCAGCCCCTCATCTCTTCTTTAGGAGTCATACTGAATTAGAGTGGATCGTTAGAGACCCTTAGACCCTGACATTTCCAAAAGGCACTGCCCAAACCACCCTGAATGATGTGATTTTACAAAGTTGAGGAATCTTACCTTTCCATCTTCCAGGTACAAGTCTGAGCAAGGCCAAAGAGCTTCATTTTAAACTATGGTCAAGAAGTTAGAAAAAGGGAGCCAGGTAGAAGAAGGCAGCCAAGCTAACTGTAGATTAAATATATGACACTCTCAGCATATACAGTTTACCAGTTGCCAGATCTCACCCCTCAGTTCTCATTATTTTTTTTAAATATATTTTTTTAAATTGTAGTTGAACACAATACCTTTATTTTATTTATTTATTTTTATGTGGTGCTGAGGATCAAAGCCAGCACCTCACATGTGCTAGGCGAGCATCATACTGCTGAGCCACAACCCCAGTCCATCAATTCTCATTCTTTTCCTAGAAAGGAAAAGATCTTCCTAAGTACCAATAAAATCACCATAAATAATGAATACTCCAATGCCACCACCATCACCTTTAAAAAAAATTTTTTTCCCCTAATGCTAGGAATTGAATCCAGGGCTTCACGCATGCTAGAGACATATTCTACCACTGAGCTACATTCCCAGCCACCAACCCCATTTTTGTCTCAGCAAATAATTTGTTGAGCAACCAAAAAGCAAAGAATTAACTTTCTCTAGGTGAATCCTACTGCTGAGAGCCTCCAAAGCTTTAAAAGCTCCCAGTCAGGGCTTACAGGTAGATAGTAAAGACACTCAGCTGTTAAGGAGGATATTAACTGAGCCAGACTTTTCTGCACTTCTGTTTTCGTACAGGAGCAAGGCCTACAAGAGAAGGGTCTACTAGTACAAAGAAGGTTAAGAGTTAGTGCGAAGAAGGTGTCTAGGTTAAGGTTAAGTATCATCCACTAAGATAAGCCAAATCAAAATCAAGTCTAGGAACACATCCCCTCCTTTTTGTTCTAGTGCTTATAGGAGAGACATTAGCACATCAAATCATCTGTGAAACCTTTTTGCCCTTTATAGCCCTCCCTGGCCTTCTAAGATACCACTACTCTTCTATCAGAATGGCAAGAAGGGTGTGGGTAGAGATAGTCTGACAAAGCTGCAGATGATCTTGTCAGAGTCACTTCTTTCAAAGAATTTCATAAGACCCTATTTTTAGAAAATCTCTCCTCATGTAAGTGGAATAAAATTTTATGAATGGACTTAAAAAAAAAAAAAGAAAGAAAGAAAGAAAAGAAATCTCTCCATATAACAACAGAGAACAGACATTTGTGTCCACCAGAGAAAAGATGAAATCAAGGCATGTAAAAAGAAGTACCCACAAAGTCATGAAAGAAAATTCCCAAGTAAATGGTCTGAGTACCTATTACTGTTAGTGCATGCTTGGTCTTACCTGGTTTTCCAATTTGCAATGTTTTGCTTATGCTTTTTAGTCAGGCAAATGAGGAACTTCAAAATTCTTTTATATCAAACTTGACTTATTTACATGATGAATGGCAAGGCCTTGTTAGAGATCAGGGAAAAAAAAAAAACACTAAACAGAAAAGAAAACCACACAGACAAACGAATATCAGTCTTGCATTATTCAGGACACTCTCTCAGCTGTATGATACAGCAGTGTTTTCATATTTTATTTTGGTCCACCAGGCAGGAGTAAATCATTCACGGGATTGCTCAAGGCCATTCAGGGCTATTAAGCACAAAGCCAGCTGTTACTACTTAACAGTGTGTCCAAACTGCAGAAAACATGACTGGAGCACAAAAACACCAGCCATTGTTGATACTAAAGCATTGAGCTATGATCTCCACAGGATGAAACACTGTCAATCGGTCTACACTGAGTAAGCAATGAAGTGCCACTTGAGAAGCCCAAGGTTTGCACCTGGTATACGGGCACCTGCTCAGTCAGGTCAGAGAAGCTTTGTCATGATATGCACAAAAAAAGATCAATTATTTCCTGTCCCTGGAGAGAAAAGAGGGAGGGACAATAATACTACTCTGAATTAGGCTTGCACAGCCAGAAACTCTCTGCTAAAATGGGAAAAAGGCATATATCAAACTGGTACTTACTTAAGACTCACCCCACCCCAATCAAGTTCTAAGCAAAATACTCTAAGGCCTGGCTGATCGAAGCGTGGTCTGCTGGAAGCTGGTTAGAAACAGAATTTCAGGTCCCACCCCGAACCTGCTATCTCCAAGTGAGAATGAGAGGCACGCCAGAAGGTCTCACTACATTCTCACAACAGCTCTGGGAGGCACGTACTGTTGGGATCTCCATTTCACCGGGCAGAGGGGAAGCAAGGTTGCGGTCTCCTGCCCAAGGTCAAAGAACTCCGGAGTGGCGAGGGTCGCCGAGGTTCTCTCCAGAGGAGATCCTCTGAGAGTCGTCCGCGCACTGGCCGGGAAGCGCTGACCAGGGCCTCGACTGACGCAAGCCCTGGGCGGACCTGAAGGGCAGGAGGCACAGCCGAAAGCGAAGTCGGTCGCAGGCACACGGAGCGGCCGCCGTGACATCTTCCCGGGCCACCGCCACCACTCACCTGAAGCTGGCGAAGGCCGGCAGCGCAACACCAGACTCTGAAGCCCGCCCGCCACAGCAACACACTAACTCCTCCGACTGCACTCGGCCTCACAGACCAACTTCCGGCCAACTGCCTGCTACTTCCGCCTGCTGCGCGAGCGACGGGTGCGGCTGAGGCTCAAAAACCTCTGTCAGCGTTTTCCAAGGACATTTTTCACTGGAGGTTTTTGACGAGGAGAATGAGGGAATCTAAGACCTGCAGAGGGAAAATACTTCCCCGAATGAATCGCTCTGGAAGTAATTGAGCAGCATAGTCAGTTTCGACTCTCAGGACCTCGTTCAGGGTTTTATGGCCTTGGGGAATTCACGTAAACTCTTAGTGTCTCATCTGTACAATGAGGGTAATAGGGCATTTATAATAGAAATGTATCTGCAAAGTGCTCTCAAGAGAAGACTTAGTGATGGAGAGACGAGGAGCTGTTGAAGAGCTAAAACTTGAACCCAGGTGATCTTACACTTCCCTTAATAAGGGTCTCATACCTGAATCGATTTGGGCACAAATCTGAGGCAAGAAAGAAACTCTACAAAGCCTCTACTTGTCAGGAGGGCCTGGCCCCAGACTGCCATTCCTGAGGGCACTTGAGAGCAGCTGATCAGGTTCTTTGTATCTTGTCAGTGCCCGAGCTACTGATTCAGTCATCTTAAGTGCTGTGAAAGAGATCTGAGAAAGCATGCTCCCTCCAGGGCACCAACTTGCAAGGGAGACAAAACAAATGTAGAGAAGACATAGCCTTGCAAGGAGGAGCAAGCATGGCATCCCAACTCCTGAGCTTTGCCTAGGCGTGAACATTTGGGAACTCAGACTACTGGCACCACTGCTTAGGGTGCATTCTTTCAACAGATCAAACCAAGGAAAACTGTTAGCTGCTGATTACAACTCTGGCTTTGCCAGCAGAATCCAAAAAGGAGAGGAAGTCCATCCCCAGGGAGTGATCCATAATTGCTCCAGGGCAATTGTGCCAGTCCCATGCGTCTTTGCCAAAACTCAATCTCCCAGTCTCCCTTAAAGTGGGAGGAGCATGTGACTCATTTCTGGCCAACAAGATTTAAAGGGAAGGGTGTTGACAGTGTTCTGCCAAGACAAAACTAAAGCTTGGGTTTGGGCAGCCACCTTGTGGCAAGGAGGAAACAATAAGTTAGAATGGGAGAGTGGGAAGAAGAAAAGTGTAGGTCCACCATGATGGATGAACCTCCACTTCCACCTGTGATACCCACATCCATACTTCTTGTCTGATGAGAAATAAAAAAACCACTTATTGAAGTCCTGTAAGTCAGGTTGTATTACATATAACAAAATGCACTCCTTTTCTTTTTTTTTTTTTTTTCAATAATATGGGGATTAAACCAGGACTGCTTTACCACGAATCTACATTCCCAGCCCTTTTAAAAGTTTTTTGTTTGTTGTTTTGTTTTGTTTGAGATGGGATCTTGTTAAGTTGCTGAAGCTGGCCTCAGATTTCTGATTCCTGCATCAGCCTCCGGAGTTGCTGGGATTACAGGTATGTGCCACCACGTCTGGCTCAGCAAGATGTATTAATTGTGGGTTCTCTGAGAACAGAAGGAATTATAAAAGGATAGCTTACTGCTATGCCACATGCTTGGGTACCTTTTGCCACTAACTGCAAATCTGTTCTCAGCCTTCAACTTATGTGTGTGTGCACCATGTGTGTTGGGGAATCAAACACCAGGGCTTCATGCATGCTAGGCAAGTGCTCTATCACTGAGCTATACTCCTAGCCTTTTAGCTTTCATTTCTATGCCCTCAACCATCACCAATCACCGTAAGGTGGATCAAGTGACTGAAGGCTACAGCTTGCAACCTGCATTACCTACCTTCTGACCAGCAGCCTGGTGTCCAGAATCTGAAGGCTACTTTGAAACCCTTTATAAATGACAGTCTTAGCTGAAGAGAAAGCCCCACTGGACAAAATTATGGAACTATGACTCCTCTTGGGCAATGTGGAGAAGTCTGGGCTTTGGGCCAACATCCTGGCATGCTCCAGTGAGCAACTCTAGTCTTGTGCCTCCTCCTCTGGGAAATGTTTACTCCAGCTCTGTCCTCCCCATTTCCCCACCCTCCAGGCCTCACCTCCCACACCTGCAGACACAAGTAGGCCACAAGAATGCCATTCAAGAGGCTTTCTCCATTTTATTTCTTTGGGAAAGGAAAACAAAAGTCTTTCCATCACATATGGTAGAGATATATATTTATATATATTTATATATAATTTATTTTGTGGTTGGACATCCCAAAGCTGAGTCTGAGATACATACATGTGTGTGTGTATGTGTGTGTGTGTATATGTATATATATGTATATATATATATATATATATATATATATATATACACACACACACACACATACATACTTATTTATTTATTTATTTTCCCCCTACTAATGCCTTCTCTTTTCCCAGCCCCTGTGGCCCAGGCCCAGGTTCTGGGGCAGGTACAGTGAGAGGTGAGTGGGATGGGCAGTGGTTGCCAGGGTGGCCTCACATGTAGCTTAGAGAGCTGGTGAGGACCATCCAGAAGAGGCTGTGCAGAGGGTTAGAGGCCACATAGAAGGGCACTCCTGTTTTTGTGGGGGATGCACAGCTCATTAAACAGTCACCAGTCATGGGAGGAGGCTGGTCAGGGACTGGGGGACTTGCTCACAGTAGTTGCCAGCTCTCTCCACCCTGCCCCCAAACTCTTGGGGGTAGAAGAATGAAAGAGAGAAATACAAGGGCTGAGGGCCAAGCCTCCTCTGATTTTTATTGCTGGTGAATTAGAAATTTGCTTTCTTAGAAGGGAAATTACAAGTTCCCTTCCTATCTTGGGGAGTTAGATTCTGAGAGAGCCACCAGAGAAGGAAATGACATTGGCTGTCCCAACTCCTACTGATGGCCATGCCAGGCCTCCCTGGGCAAATGCTGAGCCAACTCAGAGCTTGACAAGGAACCAAGAGGTTTGTGTTCCTCTTAGGTCAGCCTTGTTCTTCAAGTGCAATTGCATCCAACCCTCCTGGCACCCCAAAACAAGGGCCTCAGGCTCAGACTTGGGCCAGTGGAGCTGGGAAGTGGGCAGTGCACCAAAGATCAAGCAGAATTTTCTACTAGAAGAAAAGTGAGACTCTGGGGAAGAGGCAGCCTGGGAAGATGATGTTCTGAGCATGAAAGCAGGAAACTGGGGGAAGTGAGTGAGGGAAGACACAGGAAGACATCACAGACACTCATCTGACCTCAGAAGCTGGGCAAGGGGAGTGCCTGAGAGGCAGGTAGCACTTAATAGCTGTAGTTAGAGCCGACAGTGGCCCTGGGTGTGGGGTAAGCCAAGCATCTGGGGCTCTTGCCCTGCAGGATCCTGGCCAGAAGGGTGAAGGTAGAAACCTCCAGATGACCCTTCGCAAGAACATGAGGGAAGATCTCCCTTGGACACTGAGCTTCCAGCCCAACACACACAGAGGAATACACACTCAGGGCCAGGCCAGGTTCTGAGGCCTGAACCCAAGAGACCTTACGGGGGAGGGGCTGGGCAGGTAGCCCTCTCAACCACACAGGCAGGCCATCTGCTCCTACTTGTCCTGCCAATCTGCCCAGGGAGGGATAACACCACAGGAAGGAGAGAGGCCAGGAGCCCAGGGTCTGTCGGCCTTGGCAGACCCGTGCAGGCCCCTTCAGGCTCCACGGCCTAGGAAGTGAGCACAGAAAGCATCACTAGACACAAGTGGCCAACAACAGCAGCCCAGACTCCCTGAGGGTCTGGGGCATCTTATGGCACTGCAGGCCTGCTGCCTCCATCTCCAACAAGGGGCTGCCCAGAAAGGGGGCATGCTCCCTGCTGCCTGGGCTCTCATCCCTATGCACTCTGCCCTTTCCCCATTCTCTCCTTGAGAGGAGGGTCCGAGTGACTACCCACAGGGGCAGTACTGGAACTGGGAGGGCGTGAGGGGGCAGGGAGGAGCCTTGTCACAGCTGCTCTAAGAACCTCTTTGGTCTGGGGACATGGGGCACATTGGGAAGGGAAATGGAAGGGAGGGGAGGCTGGGGACTCTGGCCTTGAGACAGGGCACTTGTCAGAAGGCCACGTGCCCAGGTGGAGGATCAGATTTCTGTGGACTCAATGCGTTCAAGGCGGGAAGGGGTCCAGGCCTTCTTCTCCTCACCATGTTGCGGGGTAGGAGTGCTTGCACCCCCTGCTGCCCCACGCTCCCGAAGCCTCCGCTCCAGCTGCTGGTTGCGCTGGTACATCTCCACATAACTCAACTGCAGCTGCTTCTGATACTCAATGACCTTCTCTTTCTCCTCCAGCCAAACGCGGCGCTCCTCTGCAAAGCTGGCACCCTGGCGCTCCCGGGCTCTCCGCTCTGCTGCCAGCTCAGCCTGCAGCCGCCCCACCTCCCGCCTTAGGGCCCGTGTCCCATTCTCCCCTCCAGCATCCACCTCCCCGTCCATGGAAACTAAGGAGGCAGCAGCTGCCACCCCAGCCTGACGGCGCATCTTGGCCTCATCACTTTCGCAGGTGGCCAGTGCCTCCTGTGGTTCGGCAGGGTCCACGGGGGTCAGTGCAGGCTTGAGGCAGGTGGCAGGCAGCTCACCTTCACCCAACTCCAGGCTGGCCTGTTTGCTGCCAAAGGAGTCCCTCAGGCTGAGCAGCTGCTCCTCCTTCTCCCGCAGTGAGGCCCGGCCCTCCCGCAGCTGTGAGCGCAGACCCACAATCTCACTCAGCTTCTGGGATACATCAGCCTGCGAGTCCTTCAGCTGCTGCTTCAGAAGGGAAATCTCCCCGGCCTTCTGGCACACCTGGGCAAGGGCAGGTGGGAGAAGAAGCCAGGATAAAGGCAGAGTTCTGCTCACCCCAACCCAATCCCCATATCCAACACCAGGGCCACCAAGCTTCCCCAGGACTCAGGCTCAGCCCTCCATCAGACCAAGCAAGGATAACACACCAGCCTCCCTGCTGGACTCAGGACATACAGGGTTCATCTGACATCAGCCCAGGGACAGTTTCATGTCCCAACAGACACTCCAAAGTCAATCTGGTCCCTCAATTCCTTTCTCTCACCCTTTAGATAGTGGTAGGCTACTGCTCTGGGGTTCTCCAGAGGGTCAGAGGAAGGGGAGACAGAGGGGAAAGCCCCCAGCCCGCACCTCCCACTTAGTTTCCTCCATCCGGGGCAGGAAGTCGGCCTGCTCCTTCTGGCAGGCGGCCACCTTGTCCTCTAGCTCTTCCCGCTGCCGCATCAGCCGGGCCGCCTCTTCCTGAAGTTGCTTCTTGTCCTGCTGCAGCCGCAGCACCTGCAGCTGTAGTCCCTGCTGGGCTCGCTGGGCACGGCGGGCCACCTGCTGCAGCTTCCCGCTACAGCCCTGCCGCAGCTCCGCTAGCTCTCGCTCCCATGCCTTCTGCCGTTCCTCCAGCACCTGGGCCACAGCTGCCTCGCTCTGCTCCAGACTGCGCCGCAGAGCTGCCACCTCCTGCTCCTTCTCCCATAGCCGCTCCTCCAGCTCCTGGATCAGTGCACTGGGCGAGGGTGGTGAGCAGGCTGCAAATGGCAGGCCTCCACCTCCACCCTCCCCAGATCCCAGGTGGCTTGGCCGCCCCATGGATGATGATGACCCACTCTTGCTGGAGGCCCGCCCACTGTCAGAAGTCCCCAGGTCCTGGTAGCCCGAACCCCCACCACTGCTGCCACTGCCATAGCTGGCAGTGCCGATGCGGTTGATGTGACTGGTAGAAGCACTGAGGGGCGCCAGGTGCTGGCTGTAGCTGGAGCTGTAGGTGGGCAAGCTTGTGAGTGAGTTCCGGCCTGAGTCTGAGAGGCCGCCCCCACTTCCACCTGCTGGGGTCATGGTCCGAGACTTTTCTAGTCCACCCTTGAGGCCACCAGGGCCCTGTCGTCCCTCAGGGGTCCCATTGGTCTGCGGGGGACACAAGTTCTGCATGGAATGGAAATTCTTGGGTACAACAGGCTTGAAGGCTGATGGCCGAACTAGTGGTTCTGAGCACTGTGCAAAAGCAAGGAAGAGCAGTGAGCATCAGAATGAGTCCTTGACCTTGGCTCAGCCTCTTCCCTTTAGCTGAGCCTTGTTCAACCCCACATCCTACCCCTGTGGGTTTCCACTTGGTATCTCCCCCAAGCCAGGTCCCTGTCCTGGATCCCCCAGCTGGTCTTGGCCTCAGGGCCCCACTCCATAGCTCTTTGGCCCAGCTTGCCTCCTGGCCCCTATGATCCAACCTCCAAGAAAGCCCTCCTTGCCCATCTCTTTGAACTACTTCCCACCCCAGAAAAAGGTTGTGACGGTCTCAGGCCCTAGAGACTGACCTGGTCTAGCTTGCCAGAGGTGGCCAGGAGCTTGGGTGGGTGGCTGGGCTCACGATACTGTGGTGGAGCCTTGTCACTGCCACCGCTGCTGCTGCTGCCACCGCTGCTACCCACCACATTGCCGCAGACATCTGTGTGGTCACTGCCCCGCAGCTCGCCGTTGAGGTAGAGGGAGTTGGCGAGAGCCTTGTCCTCTGAGGGGTATCGGCCTGGCCTCTCCCTGCTGGTCCCACTGCCACTGCCTCGGGGGCCTGGGAAACTGCCCTGGTTGCCCCCACCCCCTGTGCGGGTGCCCACGCTCTTCATGGCGAACTCTTGGGCATGGGCCACCCCACTGCCCACACTGCCCATGGCCAGGCGGGGGTCTGGGGGTCCAAGCTCAGAGGGCCGTGGGGCAAAGGCCAGGAGGGGATCCCGCCCTGGGTCAGCACGCACGGGCAGTGTCTCGAGCTTCGCCATGACTAAGCCAGGAGGGCACTGTGGGCACAGACGGGAAGGTAGAGAGGTCAGACCCCACCCCTATTCCCACCACCCCAGCCAAGTCAACCCCAGCACCACCCTGCCCCTCAGTGTCCCCTTTCCTAATGCAGAAGAGTTCCCAGACATTCAAAGTGAAGGAATAAGGATGAGTAAGAGTAATAGCTTGGTAATGGGGGCTGCCTGTTGCCCCAGGGCACTCCACTCCTCAACCTGTGCTTCAAACCCACCTCATCCATAAGCCTCCCAGACTCATGAACCTCTCTTTGCTGCAACTCCCAGAATTTAGTTCTTTACCCTGGGTCAGGGCCTCTACATCTCAGCCTCAGTGGCTAGAGAAATGGGGTTGGGAGAGAAGTACCTGAATCCATTAGGGAACCTCAGAAGTTAGGGGAGGGCCAGAGACACAATAATTCTATTAAAAAATTGAAGGCAATGGTCTTTCCCAGCCCCCTACCCTAAGGTGTTGCAGTCAAGGGTGGAAGTGGAAGCTCACTACCAGCGCAGGCTCCTCTCCTTGCCTTTCCAAGGGAGTGGGGGGCCGATGGGTCCTCAAGCCTGGGACCCTCCGAGGCCCGGTCTGCAGGGGCCATGTGGCTGACTCTCGCAGTCGGGGCTCGGCCCGAACCAGCTGCGCGACTTTGGACGGGCCGACTGAGCCATCCTCTGCGAAATGGGAGGAATGAAGAACCTACCTCGCGGAGCTGCCGCTCGGCAGGTGCCCCGAGGCTACGTGCACGGGAAGGAACCCGGTCACCAGGTTGGGTGGGCGGAGCTGCCCCTGCAGCATGCGCGGGTGTCGCGGGAGGGCGGTGCCATGGGCACGCAGACTGGACTGACGGAATGCAGGCCGAAGCTGCAGCAGGTGGCAAGGGAGGTCTTCCCAATTCGTCTGCAGAGGGCCTGGCCCGAGAGGGACCCCCTCCCCGACGTCAGTACTACACAGAGGCCCCCAGGCTGACAGAGGCCAGGACTGGAAGGCAGTGCTGCCGGCTTCTGGCGCTGGCCGAGCCTACCTCGGGGCCTACATCTCCCACAGGTGGGGTGGGGGGCGGCCTTTGCACTCCACGGTGCTCCAGAGGATCCTGCACCTGCTGAACCCTGCCAAGAATGCACTGCCACCAGGAAGATTTCCTGGATTGCCCCCTCCCCCGCTCCCTGTGGACTTTGATCCTGTTCAGTTCACCATGAAGTCAATTCTGTGGATGTGCGCCCCCTCCCCCAAGGCAGGCCTGCAGAAAGAGGGGGAGCAGGGCCTCGGATTACCTGAGCTCAGGCAGGCCTGATTTCCTGGTTCCTTTGTCTCAAGTCTGCACCTGGGAACACCTGTCACAGAGATCTACATAATCCAGCTGGACAGGGGCACTAGGGTGCTAGCAGCTGGCTAGATGGCTCAAGATGGCTCAAACTCTAGTGCCTTTCAGGCCTTTAAACCTCCTGCCCCCACCCAGGTTCCACCAGAAACTGGGCAGGAAGCCCTCCTTCTCTATTAAGTGAAGGAATCCAACCTCCCTTTGAGTGTTCTGTAGACTGTCTTCTAATGATGTCCAGTGTTAATGTTGTATTGTCCCCTCAGGCCCCCAAACAAGGAAGCCTGGTAAAACCCTTGCTCTTCAGGATCTTCAGGCCATATCAGCCTTAGATGGTGGGTAAGTTCACCGCCAAACTGGTCTATTAAATGGAATGTAGCATTCCATTCTCTCAGTCTTTCCCCACAGGTGTGGAAAACAGCAAATTTTCACCACCCTCATCCCTTCTGCAAGTCTATCCCCATAACCAGCAGTGGCACTAAGCTGGGCAAGAGAGGCACATAGGGCACAAGTGAAGTGCAGGACGTGCAGGTACACCCACAACCCTGAGAGTGAGGCCTCTGTTGCCTCACCCTAGTATCTGCCTCCACTCCCCAGCATACTCCATCCTGGCTGCTACTCCTTGGCTTTGAAACCCCTCCTACCCTAAACATGGCCCCCTTCTCTCAACATCCCTCAGTGAAGTATAGAGAGCAGCTAGAATTGGGAGGATGGTTGCTGAATGGCCTGAAGCTTGAAACCAGTGGGGAGGCCTAGGCAGGGTTTGGAGAGGAGAAACTGGCAAAGCCTCATACAGCTGGGTTTCAGGTAGTAGGGACAAGGGAAATGTCTGGGTTGGGGCACCAGGGGGGGTAAAAACAAGGGAAGAGTCTGAGCTGAAGCATAAGGGTGGGTGGGACACCCTTAACATAATGGGGAAATTGCTTGAGAGAACTAGGTCTTAAAAATAAATTTTAAAAAGTGTGTGTGTGTGTGTGTGTGTGTGTGTGTGTGTGTATATATATATATATATAGTTGTAGGTGAACACAATACATTTATTATTTATTTTATTTTTAAGTGGTGCTGAGGATTGAACCCAGTGCTTCACCTGAGCTAGGCGCGTGCTTTACCACTGAGCCACAACCCTGGCCCTGAAATAGGTCTTTTTGAGAAGACCAGAGAAATAATTCTCATGCACTGAGTGGAGTGAAAGACTCGAATCTTCAGCATACAAGGGTGGTGTGGGTGGGCCCAGCCTCCAACTAAGGCAGAAGAGCCCCATAAGTCTGGGTGACAGTGTGGGAGATAGAAGGCATCTAGGAGAAGCTGGGCCCTGAAGACCAAGACGGAGGGGGGACTCAAGAACGTGGGGGCAAGCTAGATGCAGTGGTGTACACCTACAGTCGCAGCTACTCAAGAGGATCACTTGAGCCCAGGAGTTTAATACCAGTCTTAGTTTTGGTGACATATCGAGACTCCATCTCAAAAAAGAAAGAAAAACAAAATGTGGGATGTGGGGGCAGCTCTCAGGGTTAAAAAGAAAAGGGCCAGGTAAAAATTGGGATTACAGAGTGTGCCCTGGATTTGGCAGTTGAAGATATCACTGGTGTGTGTGTGTGTAAGAATGGTTTCAGAAAAGTAGTACAAGGGAAAAGCAGACCACAGGGGTGGAGGGGTGCAGAGAGATGAAATGGCAGAATTCCCTGCTAACAGAGGCCAGAGAACACCATCATTTAAGGAGGTTTGAAATCTCAATGTTTGTTTTCTTTTTTAATTTTAAAATCAAATATGATAGAAACTTGAGTGTGCTGATATGCCAAAGAAAGGCACCACTAGTAAAATTAAAGATCTAGGCAGGGTAGCTAGCAAGGGGGCTGCATCAGAAGCCAGGAATGAATAAGAAGAAATCTCAGACATGATAATGTTGATTGTGAGTGACAGGGCTAAGGCTTGGGAAGGTACTTTCTAAACCGTAAGATACAGCACAAACATGCAAAACCACCTTCTTTGAGATCCAGGAAAAAATAATCTGACCATAAATTTGAGTTGGTCATATGCTAATCTGCCCCACTCTTTCTCTAGCCTGTGTGTTATTTCCCACTAGGTTCACATGCCCAGAGCTCTGGATAGAAATGACACTGTCCTGAACCTTCTTTCCTTGTGCTGTACCTGGGGAATCCTTGATTGTCATTCTACAGAAGCTCTCTCTGGAGCCCAAAGAGCTTCTTGCCATAATTCTACTCTGTCATGGTCAACCTCTTGCAAGTGTTCCCTGCCCCCCTTGCCTCTCCCAAGATTAGACTGCTGCTGGTACTTTCCTCAAAAACCTGACAGGGAGCTGGAAGGACAAGGAGTTGGGATATTTTTTACTGCTAAGAAGGAATTAAGCTGAGAGGAAGGGTTGTGCTTCCTTTGTGGGTCAGGGTCTTACACTGGCCCAGGTAACAGTGCGATCTGAAAAGAAAGCTTCATGGCATCAAACCATGTCATCGAACCACGACAGCCTTGTTTCCACACTCTGCCTCTATCTCTGGCTTATTAATACTCAATGCGTGTGACATTACAGTTTAAGTGGTCACAGAGGGACCTACGGGTTACACATGAAAGTCCCTCCAATCCATAGAAACCACCTCGCTCCTCACCACCTGTATTCCCCCAAAGCTAGAACACTTGAAGTCCCAGAGGCCCCCAAGTCCAACTCAGTCCACCCCCTAAAGATCTCAGCAGCATCTCCTGCCAGCACCTTTGCTGAGTCTTCTCAGTGGCCCTTCTTCTGCACCCCCTTCTTGAGCTGCAGCCAAGAGACTCTTTCTAAAGGGCAAAGCCATTCATGTTCTTACTCTGCCCAAATCCTTCCATGAGCTAGGTCAAGTGCAGAAGATGGAGTTCTGGCTCCATCAGCTCCAAGTGTAAATCACAGCTCGACTGATTGGAGTGGAACCAAATGTAGGTTGTTTCACCTCAGATTCTCACATTTACCTTGCAGGAATTTTAAGAAGCAAATGTATTAAGGGCAAATTGCTTGATACTCCTCTTGGTCCCCAGAATCAAGCAGAGCTTGCAGCAGTGTTCCCAAGGTCCCTCCTGATGCCCATCCTTTATCTTCCTTGACCTGAGCTCCTCTCCACTCCACATACAACCTCAGCTCTCTGTGCTCATCCTATAGCCTTGTAGAATCAGTCCAAATGCTGTCAATACAGCATCCCTGATATATCTCAGGGGTCTTGGAGCACTTAGCTCAGGACACCCCAGGACAAAAATGAAAGAGTCCTCAGGGTTTCTGGGCCCTGGCACCAAGAAAATGCAGGGTGAATGCCTATGGGAACGCTAGTTATGAGCAATGCAAATAGGTAATGAACACAGGCAGAGAAACCAGGAAGGGCTTCCAGGAAGGACTGAGGGAGGAAAGGGATCCAGGGGCACTGTACGGCTCTGGGGGTACAGAGATCTCCAGAACTTCTTGGTTGGGATGTGTGAGGGGAGATCCACCTTCCCTTGGAGGCATGGACACTATCCTGGCTCTGTTGAAGCCCATGTTTCAGGACTGAGGGGGCCGACAGCTCACCCCCACACATACCCAGAGCTCACACACGCGTGCACACACGAGCCTCCACTGGGGGTGGGGGTCGCCATTCACCAGCAGCCCACAGCGCACAGCACCACAGGCCATCCGCAGGGGTGCCCAGGGGGTCTCTGCTGTGGGGAAAATCCCGCCCGCACCTCCTAGGGCGACCCACCAACGCGTGTGGCCCTGGGGGGCGGGGCTCAGAGGGAAGAGGTGACATAATCCGGACCGCACCCCCTCCGGCCGCCATCCCCCCCCCCAGGCCGGGCGAAGCATCCATGACATCATTGGCCTCCTCTACATTTCCCCTCCCCCGCCCCCGGGACCCTAGCAGCGGGATGCGACCCCTCCCCAGCTCCCAGTCGGGACAGACGCGCCGAGCCGTGCAGCAGGCACGGCGGCGGGTTGGAGCGAGAGGGGCGACGCGGTGGGCCTGCCTCACTTACTCGCTGCCCCGGGGTCCGGTGTAGGGTCTCCGACGCGGGCACCACAGGCCCGACTAGCTGGCGCAGCCCGAAGCCCGCCCGGCGGGGCGCGCGGCGCGGGCCCGGCTAGGCTTCGCGCCCCTCCCGCTCTCCGCCAGGGCCCCGCCCACCAGCGGCTGCGGCAAACGCGGGCCCGCCCCCGGCCACGCCCCCCGGGGCCACCAATCCCCGGGCTGGGGCGGGGCACGGTGATTTAACCCGTTAGTCTCTGCGTCTCCGCCCGCACGTGGGACCCCTCCGTCTCACCAGCTGCAGGATGCTTAATAGTCTGCCCGAGTCCCTCGGCTTGTCATTTGTCACCCATCCTCTCAAGTCCTTGGACTTAGTGCCCTAGTCTCTCCTAACAAATCCTGTGGGACTGCGCTGTCCTTGAATCTAAGATTTTGCTATGGGAGATGAGCCCCTCTGGTTTCGAAAAAGGGATCCCAATTCCGAGCCCCAAACTCCCATTCCTCTCCGGCTTTGGGGAGGCGGCCTCCAGGCGGACTCGTTTAGATCTTGAAAGACTTCGTGGTTGGGACTCAACGAGCCTTTGCGGGTGTATCCGACCCAGCCGCCCGCCGGGTCTCGGGGACCACAGGCACGATCGTGGGAAGCTCGAGGGCCAGTAACTACGTCAGCCAGCAAACCCAGAGGATTTGAAACTTGCTGCTCGCGAAGGCTCACGGTCTCCAAGGTGCAATGAGGAAAAATATGCATTACATTCCGGCAGGGTTTGAGCGCTTTCACCTTGTGCGGGGTCCCTCCCTGGTGTAAGGCCCGGCCCAAGTCCCTGTGTTGCATCCCTGAGTGAGAAGGAGCAGTGGCGGGGACTTCATTCCTGACCCAGAAAGCCAGCTTCCATCACTGCGGGGAGTGCTCGATGACTTGGGAGGACTGCTAGGAGTAAGGAGTCAGCCTTGAATTGTGGCCTTAGCCTCGCTTAGTGTGGTGAAACAAGTTAGACCTGGGGTCAGGCACTAGCAAAGCCTGGAGGCACAAGGGTCTGAGGTAAAAACCGCAGCGCCTCCACTCTGGCTGGGATTTAACCCATTATATTTCTGCTGCGATAGCTGATGTGTTTGCTCATTCTATTTTGTAATTTTTATTTCTTGTTGTTTTAAATTCCCCCCCCCACATTTGCTTTTATTTTATATAGTGGTTTTTAAGGCAAAAACCTTGTTTTTAGTTCTCCTAATGACTTCCTTTAAATTTATTTTTATGTCACTATATGACAAATCATTCCTTTTTATATTATTTATGTAAAGAGAAATATTAAATGTTTTCGAATGTCACATAATTGTATGTATTTGTGAGGTTGTAATAAGAAATTGAATGTGCTTTTTGCCCTCATACCTATTTATATTTGTCCACTTTAGACAGGATGACAGACCTTCCTTTTGCACTTTTTTTTTTAAAGAGAGAGAGAGAGAGAGAGAGAGAGAGAGAGAGAGAGAGAGAGAGAGAGAATTTTTTAATATTTATTTTTTAGTTTTCGGCGGACACAATATCTTTGTATGTGGTGCTGAGGATCGAACCCTGGCCGCACGCATGCCAGGCGAGCGCGCTACCGCTTGAGCCACATCCCCAGCCCTCCTTTTGCACTTTTTAAGCCACAATATTATTTTTTTCAGTGGTAGAAGGTTTGCCTATTATGCAGGAGGCTCTGGGTTCCTCCCAACCCTGCTTTTGGGAATAGAATTCAGGGACAAGGGTGCTCCACCATTGAGATACATCCCCTTCTTAAACATGTTTTCTCTCTTTTTTTTTTTTTTTTTAGCCCTTAGCCACTGAGCCATATCCTCAGCCCTTTTTGTCTAGTTTGAGACAAAGGTCTCACCAAGTTGCTTAGGACCTCTCTAAGTTGCTGAGGCTGGTTTTTGAACTTGTGATCCTCTTGCTTCAATCTCCCTTACAGGTGGGATCCACTGTGCCCACCTCTTTGTACATTTTTTTTTATTGGTACATTATAGTTGTACCTAATAATGGGATTAGTTCCTGATATTCATACATGCACACAATATAATTTGTCAGTATCACTCCCCAGCAATCAACCAATAATTAAAATTTATTTTTTACATAAGGTCTCATTAAATTGCCCAAGCCAGCCTGGAACTTGCCATCCTCTTTCCTCAATCTCCTGAGTTATCTGGGATTACAGGTGTGCTACACCATACCTTATAAAATTCTTGAGTCTCAAACTCTTCCCCTCAAAATTTTCTAGTCCTGTTCTCCTGTCTTCTAGCACTGAAAATGGTAGCAAAACTGGGCTTGTCTGGTTAAGGAAAGTAAATTGGTGCTTGTAAGGGTTTTTCTTTCAACTCAGAAGTCAAACCTCTTGCCTGTGTAAGTCTCTGGGGACCTTTGCCTATTAATTTTCCAGAAACAAAAGATGTCTTTTCAATTTAGGAAAGTCTGTTAATGTGTTCCTATCCATTTTGTGAACAGATTTTTTTTTCTTCCTTCCCTATCACATTAGACCTCCACTGTCAAATCTCTGTTCTGTTTATCTACATCCTGAAAGAGTATTTCAAGGTTTTCTTCACCATCAGACTTAATTTCCTTCAGAGTCAAGTGTACTGTTTGTTTTCACCAATAAAACATTTGATTCTGTTATTTAATTTTTCCTTTCATTTCAGCCAATTTCCATTCCCCCTCTAATTTGATCTCAACTTACTATCTTTACAGTTCTCTGTTTCTATTTTATAGAAAATGTGGTTTTCCATCTTTAGAAGAACATCAGAAAATATTTTCTAATGCATAGGAAAACCTTGCTAAAGTTGGCAATTTTCTAGAAAAAAAGAACTACAGAAATAAAAAATATTTTGAAAATATCAGAAATGTCCAAAAAGGCTCTGGGCTCAGGTGGTTTGAAAGAATAAACCACTTACAAAGAAACTTCCACTGATCAGATCATCCTCACCTTGTAAATCTGTACAAAAGCGGGGGGGGGGGGGAGAATTCTATTCATTTTGTCAAGCCATATTCCCCTTATAACAATACCTGATAACAATACAGAAAGGAAAGCTACAAACCAACCACACTTAACAGTACAGGGGGAAAATCCTAAATACAATTCAAGAAAACAAAATGTTATTGTATATGAAATCAATAAGCTATGAGTTTGTCAAATGAGAAAAAACAATCACCAAAAGAAATCATTCAGCTGGGTGTGGTGGTGCTCACCTGTAATCCCTGCTACATGAGAGGCCAAGGGGATTACAAGTTTGAAGACAACTTGTGCAACCTGCTGAGACCTGTCTGAAAATAAAAAAGGGGCTGAGACTGAAGCTCAGTAGTAGAGTGCCCCTGGGTTCAATCCCCAGTGCTACAAAGAAAAACAGCAATTCAGTTAGGTGTGGCGGTGCACACCTAAAGTCTCAGTTATTCAAAAGGCAGGAGGATCACTTAAGCCCATAAGTTCAAGACCAACCTGGGCAACATAGCAAGACCCCACTCCCCAAAAAATAAAAAAGAGGGCTGGGTTGTGGCTCAGTGGTAGAGCGATTGCCTAGCATGTGTGAGGCACTGGGTTCGATTCTCAGCACCACATGTAAATAAATAAATGAATAAAATAAAGGTCCATCAACAACTAAAAAATACATCTTTAAAAAAAAAAATCAGACTAAGGTTCTGAGGAATGATACTAATGAATTCATTGTAAAGAAGTGTACTTTTTGAATTACCTTTTCCTTCTCTCTTCCAGTTTTATCTTTTATGTTACATGATTGGTTTGAATAACTGATACATATTTTATATTTTTAAGTATTTTGATTCTAAAGCAACATGTTTTTATGTAAGCATGAAAAAATGATTATTTTTTAACAATCACAACAAATCACCAAGGAAAATCATTGTTTTGCTTTATTTTTAAATCATTTTCATTATTTATGTCATACATATGCTACATATAACCATATAAAACTTTATGCTTTTCATACATTAATGTAATATGTGGTATTTTCTATTGCATGTTTTAATTGTTTTTATATATATTATTTCACTTAATATTGTACCATAGGGTTTTCATTAATGATAAAATATTAAAGGAAAACCTGATTATAATGAATGCATGTTAAATAAATTTTTTTTAATGCATGTGAAAAATAAAACCTATCAAATTATTTGGGAGGCTAAAGCAGCAGGATTACACTAAAAAACAAACAAAAACACACACACACACACACAAAAAAAAAAAACCCTATCACATTAACAAACACTACTAAAGGGAACTTGGGGCTTCTCTAGAATGTCTGTGAAGTTACCCCTGATTACCAAATTGGTGGCATATGAGGCACTTTATGCTAAAATTTGGATGTTTGTACTTGGGCTTCTTATTTTTTGAGACTCAGTTCCACTACGTTGCCCAGACTAGTCTTGAATGCCTGGGCTCAAGTGTTCCTCCTGCCCCAACCTCCTGAGTAGCTGGGTCTACAGACACAACTCACCACACCCAGCTTATACTAAAGCTTTTTACAGCTGTGCTTGCTTTATGAGAAAATGAATATCTCCAAAATTGGGCCAAAGATTCCTGCAAATTACCAGTAAAGGTCTTGTGGGTTATCTAAACCAATATATAAATGTAACTGCAACGGTTATGATCCAAGTATGCTGAGGTCTTTTATAAGCTGTTTTATGATGATAAGCTGCGCACGTGGGCAAGCACACATGTGCACACACATGGCCCAGGAAAAAACAAAAAGAAAAAAGTAAATTTACTAATAACCATATTCTCCTTCTTACCTCTATTCTTTACTAATGACACATTTTTACCTAAAATACATGGTTTATGCTTACGTTCCCCAGAAACCCCCATCACATTTTATGTTGTTTCTATATAATTGATGTGTTGTTTTATAATACTAAGGATTCGTCGGTACCTATATACTTTAAGCCTCATTGCAAGTTATTAAATAAAATGTAAAGAGAAGCACCAGTCACCACCCCAAGTGTGTTCTATATACTCACATCTATTGTGAAGTACAGTATCTTCCCTAAACTCCCTCAGAAAACAATAAAATTGTTATTGAACCAGGGAAATTATGGTTATGTCCAAATATTTAACAAATTTTATGGAAAAACAGACTCAAAAAAATGTTACCAGATTTAATTTTTAAAAGAGTTTTTTTGTAGCTGTAGATGGACAGAATGCTTTTGTTTACTTTTATGAGATGCTAAGGATGGAACCCTGTGCTTCACACATGCTAGGCAAGTGCTCTGCCACCAAGTTACAGCCTCAGATTTAATGTTTGTAAAAGCTGGTATAATTAGTCTAGTCCAAACTTTTTTTTTTTGAATTGGGGGGTCGAACCTAGGGCTTTACAAATGCAAGGCAGATGCTTTGCCACTGAGCTACATCCCAGCCCTCCAAACTTTTTTTGCTGATACTGGGGACTGAACCCCAAAGCACTTATCTCCTGAGCTACATCCCCACAGCCTGCCACACCAGATTTTTATTTTTAGAAAGGGCGTTTGCTAAGTTGCTGAGGCCGGTCTTGAACTTGTGATCCTCCTGCCCTAGTCTCCCAGCTGCTGGGATTACAGGTGTGTTGCACTGTGCCCTATAACCTTTGTGAACTTTTTACACAATTATTGCAGATAGACATGGTAGTAGCTTAATGAAACTTTCATTACCTGCCTCTGTGTTCTTCATTCATCACTTGCCAACTTTTCTCTCCTGAGCTGCTGCTACCCAATAACAACAGTAACTGAGATGTGGAAAAATATAGAAATTCCTGACAATTGAATAACTGCTCACTTGTGATATTTACTCTGGTCTACTTTGACATGAGGCAATAAGTATAAACTAAAAAACATTAAGACAACTGCAGCTGGGCGCAGTGGTACTAACCTATAATCCCAGCACCTAACGAGGCAGAAGCAGAAGGATTGTGATTTTGAGGCTAGCCTCATCAACTTGGTGAGACCCTGTCTCAAAATAAAAATTAAAAAGGGCTGGCGATGTGGCTCAGTGCTAAAGCACCTCTGGGTTCAATCTCCAGTACCAAAAAAAGACAATTGCTAAGTAGACATTAAGAATGTGCCCACACATCTGCACTGCTCCACAAACTACACAGTGAACTGTGGTGTTTGGCTCCATAAAAAAATGATTAGAGGGAGCTGGGGCTGTGTTTCAGTGGTGGAGCACTTGCTTAGCACGTGTGAGGCACTGGGTTTGATCCTCAGCACCACATAAAATAAATAAATAAAATAAAGAACTAAAAAAATATATATGTTTAAAAAAAAGTGACTTGACTCACCTTATTGTTAAAAGAAAACTTCTTAAAACAACATAAGTATTAAATCTCAGTTATTCAGTTCTGATACTGTTGGAACATTAATAGTTTTAGTATTATTATTACAGATGTTTTTTTATCATTCGTTAGAAATGTAAATCATATAAGAAAGTTAAAAGGACTAAAATCTATCCAAGTAGATCTAGTAAGCTACAGGTAAAAGATTACTTTTATGTAAGTTTAAGGTTACAGTATCAGTATTTATTAGGTCCTGCTCTTAAGGTTGCCTTTCCCATTTTGTTATAATGAGTAATTAAATAATGTATTATCCCCAAATCATATATGGGATCAGGATAAACCAAGTCAAAATATTTTTTCTGTTGTGTTACTACTGTAGTCTAAATTACTTCTGGTACAATTTGAAGATTATCAAAATCTGTGTATGCAGCTGAGGATATACCTCAGTCATAGAGCACATGCTTAGTATGTGCAAGGCCCTGGGTTCCATCCCCAGCACTTAAAAAAAAAAAAGTTATGTGCAATATACAATTTTACCCAGATACATCCTTGGCCCTGTTCAGTATAAAAGGAACAGGCCTCCCTAGCACCCTGTTTTTCAAACTATAGGTTGAGAGCTATTTGTGGGTTGGAAAATCAAGTCACCATCAGCAATGAAACAAAATAGAGAAGCAAATATTAACATGTGTCAAAAACCATAAGTGGATCCTACTGTGAAAGTTTTGCTTGAGTTACCTACGTGTATACATGTATACGGATGTACTAAGTCCTTAGTAAAATGGATTTCTTACTGAGAGATACTATACAAAAGCTTGAATACCACAGCCTTAATGTAATAGGGGCCTCCAATCTTAAGGCCAGTGCTTGGGACTAGAGGAATTGGGGCAAACACTCACAAAGGCTGATGGGGCACTTTTCAACAGCACCTATAGATCCTTTTTTCTAGAAATCTGAAATTCCACAAGAACTCTTACAGAAATCCATCTCATTAGATACTTAAAACATTTACCTTCATTCCTTTCAATAAATTCTTTGATTTGTAATCTTTTGCACCTTTCAGAGCTATGGAGAGAAAACCCTTCCCTCCACTATTCCCAGGACTATTCCTGTTTTTAAGTAAAATGTACATCCTCCATCTGAGCATTGGTGAATCAACTGGAGTGAGTAATAGCTCCTTCTCCCTGTCTGGAATTCTGGTTCCATCTGGAATTCTGGTTCCGCTCATAGGAGCTTCACAGACTCAAGTGATTTATTTAATACCTCTAAACTTCTTTAAGTGTCCTATCTGTAAAATGGGAATAATGATAGCTTTTAAATCAATCTGACGCGACTAGGGTAATAGAGGCACAGAGGATAGCACACAGTAAATGCTCAACATGTCAGAGGGGAAACATGAAAAAGGCTTAACCCAACACAATGTGTACTCGACTTTAATTAATTTAAATGGGAAAAAATTCTAATTTTTATCAGATGAAAAAATTTTTAAAAAGATTATAATGAAAATAGCAGTACTCTGCCCTACTTATCCTCTACTTCCCCTTTTTCCACCAGTCAGCACTTTTGTTCATTTATTCTATTAGCTCCATATTTATAAGCCATACATTTGTACCACTTATAATAAGATTTATCAACTTTAAATGTCATCTACTCAAATGAAGTGTGAAAGAAGGAGCTGATGGAGTGATGGATAAATTTGTGGGATACAAAAACTTAATGGTTTAAGAAATGAGGTATTGGCTGGGCATGTTAGAACATGCCTCTAATCCCACCAGTTTAGGAGGCTGAAGCAGGAGGATTACAAGTTTAAAGCCAGGCTCAGCAATTTAGTGAGGCCCTAAGCAACTTAGTGAGACTATTTCTTAAACTGCAAAATAAAAAGGGCTGGGGATGTGGCTCAGTGGTTAAGTGTCCCTGAGTTCAATCCCTGGTGCCAAAAAAGAAATGTTATTGACTCAAAACACCAATTAGACTTTTCCCTCTTCCCTTGCCCCAGCTCACCAAACATAGCCCAAATCTCTGAATTTAGTTCTCACCTCCCTTACCACTTCTCTCAATTATTTGCCCAGTCCTTTCCTCTTCCTCTACCCAAAACCCCATCATCCTGCCAGCTTTTACATTCTCTGCCCCATCTGTCCTCTCCTCAACCTAGGACCCTCTCTGTTAGCCACAGGTCCTTTCACTCCAACATGTGGCTGTGCAGTTGCCAGCTGGGTGATTGGCCAGTCTCCTTAGGGTAATACCATTGCACCTGCCCCTACTGTGTATGGCGTCACGTTTCGCAACTTCCTTCAGGCACTTAGCATCATGCTTTGTACTCAGCAGGCTGGATCTGTTTAAATAATTTTCATGTTACAAAGAACCAACATGCACCCTGTACTGGTGCTACTGTGGTAGCCTGGGAGAGGTACTCAACTGCCTGGTAAATGGAGTGACTACTAGCAGCTTTACAGGGCAGAACATTTTTAGCTTGTTTTCTGAGGCTTAGCATAAGCTAAGCATATACTAGACCACTGAGGGTTTATTGTGTTGGAACTTTTTTGTTACAGAGTATTTTATTTATTTTTATTTTTTGGTACTAGGGATTGAACCCAGGGTCACTTAACCACTGAGCCACATCCCCAGCCCATTTTTTTGTTTGTTTTGAGACAGGGTCTCACTAAGTCCTTAGGACCTCACTGAATTACAGAGGTTAGTCTCAAACTTGTAATACTCCTGCCCCAACCTCCTGTTGTTGGGATTCAACATGCCCAACTGTTACAGGATGTTGTTTTTTTCATTATTATTGTTGTTGTTGATTTTTAGTTGTAGATGAACACAGTATCTTTACTTATTTTTATATGGTGCTGAGGATTGAACCCAGTGCCTCAAGGCAAGTGCTCTACCACTGAGCTACAACCTCAGCCCTGTTAAAGGATATTTTAAACATGTACAAAAATAGATAACTGTTACGTACCCAATACCCAGTTTCAGTAATTTTCAACAAATGGCCAATCTTGTAAATTGATATTTTTGAAAAGACAAATTACACAGCTCTCCAACCATGAGGCTTATCAACAGGCCTTGAAGACTCAGGACAAGGAAGAGTTATAATGGAACTAAACTGAACTACACTGGACTCTACTAGAAGCAAGTGGTATCAAAATATACCTACACTGGGCTGGGTTGTAAAGATAAGGCACCCAGGACAAGCATCACTTGGGAGTTATAAAAATCAAAACGTTACTGGCTAGAGAGCCAACAATCAAAGAGTTCCCAACTTAAGGAGGAAAATCTATGAAAAAGGTACCGTAAGCGTGCTGGGGATATAGCTTAGTGGTAGAGCTCATGCTTAGCCCATGAAGATTTGAATTAAATGCTTAGAAATCTTTAACAATTCATGTTTAAATGTTTGAAAAATTCTAAGTTGTCTAACCTGTAAGTTTTCATTGATTAGTTGCTGAAGCAGCTTGTACACATTTAGCAAAATGTTAACTGTTTAGTGAAGTGTTCATCTGATATACTTATCAGATTAATAGAGCACTACATAATGCACAAAAGATTACAGGTTTTTTCTTCCACACTAAATATTTGGAACATCAAGAATTAGAAGGCTTCCAGAATGTGAAGAAGGGATGTCCTTTTCCCAACTCCTGGCCTTTGGGCACAATCCTGAGGATGGTATGCTATGACTAGAGTTGCATTAGCTATCTTGCTACTGGATGGCAGTAGAGGATGGCAACTGAGGCAAAGGGGGCAAGAGCCCCTGGAGCTATTGCCTGGCTCTGAGACGCCCCTTCCTCTGGGGATTTGAATTACTTGAAACTTTATTGCCCTCCCCCCATCTCTGTTCCTGGGTTCCCAAACTTGCCTGTTCTTTGGACTCTCCTACTGATACTGTCTGGTTCTACCTGCTATCCTGATTTAATCAGTCATGGGGACAACTTGGCATGAGACTACTGAAAACTTTTCGGATGATTCTAATAAATAAACAGGGCTGAGAATTACTAATCTAACTATGCAAGTCATCCTCTGCTTTTCCCTTTGCAATTTTATGTTCCTACCTCATACTGTGGTTATCTGTGTATATTTCTTCCCTCTCCTACTAGATCCTGGACTCCAGATGACCTTTTAAGCAATGCATAGGGCCTTCACGTGCTGACTTCTAGTGGCTGTTGCTGATGGAATTGGCAGTCACACTTTACTTAGAATTTAGGTTCTACAGTCAATGCTTATGGCACCACATGAGTCAAAATTGCCCTTGACAGCCTCTCAGAAAGGCTCTGCACAGGAGTCTGACGTTTGTTCTGTCTCCCCTATCATCATCCACATAGTTTTCTCCTGGCCTGGAACAGAAAGCTGCCTCCTCCACCAAACACCAGAGGAAATAGGTGGCTTGTGCTTAGGGGCCACCTTGAATAAAAAAAAAAAAAAAATACACATTTAAACACGTGTCTCACCCTTAGCACCACAGAATGTTCATACTATGAACAGTCCACAGGAACCAGAATGACTGACCCTGCAGGAGACATACATCTTCCAATCTCACACCCACTCCTGAGCATATGGTCCTCACATTCACCAGTGGGTGGATCACCCACACCATTTAAACTTTTTAAATCAAGGATATAGAGCTGAGTTCATGTGATTTGCTATATGAACAATATCTCCTCAATGCACAATCACATCCAGCTCACACAAAGCCCTCCTTTTCCTATACCTGCCCCAAAACAACTGGCTATCCTCTCTTTCACTGACTTCTTCCATCCAGCTCAAAGGCTACTGCTCCTTAAGATTCTATCCTTGGAACTTATCATTAACTCTTCTTCCAGGATTCTCACCCTTTACTTAGGGATCCTGTATTTGACATGGCAAGATTTTTCTCTCTGGTTAAGAGAGGTGTGGCCTAAGAGTTTTCTTCACTTTCACTGAGGGGGGATTAAGGGATTAGAGAAAGAGCTCTTCTAGGCATTCAGCACTGAGCTTGCAAAGAAACATGGTAAGTGCACAATAAGTTTTGGTTTTTTGTTTTGTTTTGTTTTTATTTTGGGGGGGTACCAGGGATTGAACTCAGGGGCACTCAACCACTGAGCCACGTCCCCAGCCCTATTTTGTATTTTATTTAAAGCAGGGTCTCACCAAGTTGCTTAGCGCCTCACCACTGCTAAGACTGGCTTTGAACTTGCAATCCTCCTACCTTACCCTCCTGAGCCGCTGGGATTACAGGCATGTGCCTGGCCACAGTAAGTTTTTTATGAAGAAATGGGTAAGAATTGGAATTCTGCCAGCTTGCAAGGGACTCTCACCACCTCTCTGTTTTCTTTTTCTCAGAACCAGGGATGGAACCCAGGGCCTCACACATGCCAGGCAAACATCCTACCACTAAGCCACATCCCCAGCCCAACATTTTGTGGTGCTGGGGATCAAACCCTGGGCCTTGCACATGCTAGGAAAATATTCTACCACTGCTACATCCTCAACCCCCACAGATATCTGCTGAGGCTTAAATTTCACCAGCTCATCTGAGATCCCAGGCCAGGCCTTCTGTCACACCAAGCCACACCAAGCTCAGCAGTGCTCACAGGCCTTTAATTTACAACTTCCTGGCCACATTCCATCACTGCCTCAGGATGGTGAGGAGAGATGAAGATGTACTGCCAGGTAGGCCACACCAGCTCTGAGTCCAAGTAGGCAGGGCTGAGGTCAGGCTGGCAGGGTTGTGGGGGCTCCTAGCCCCAGGCGATGAGGGAGTTGCTGGCCTGGGCAAGCTCAGTGATGGACACCCGGCCCCGCTGTCGGATGAAGTTGGCCACAGCAGCTAGTTCCTCTGGGGTTATGTAGATGAACTTGCCCCGGTCGTCAATCACACCTGTAAGGATATGCAGGTTGTGGGGCTGAGTCCTCCTGGGACCTCCCAATCTGATCTAAGAATATCCACCCATTCCTTCACAACTAGCTAAGAGCCCTCCAGGTCCCCTGCTTGCCTGACCTTTTCTGATTATATCCAATCGTGGCTAGGTGAGTCAAATCAGGTTTTGCTGCTTGTCCTCATAACTCCACAGCCAGCTCTAAGCCTCGGCATGTCCTTGTAACTGCATCCAACCATTCAGTGCCCTTCTTTGAACACCCACCACTGCTCAGAATGCTCATCCTGTTTCTACAACAAATCCCTACAGCCCACTGTGGATAGATACTCCCCAGGCCAGGCTCTGTAGTGACTGAATCTCAATCCTCTCACCTGTTAGAGTCCCATCAGCCAGCAGGTCCTGGATGCGGTTGATAGTGTCCTATGAAGAGAATGCTTCTCAGAGCAAAGACAGGTGCTACTGTCCCAAGGAAAAAAAACACATTTTCCCTCCTGCTACAGCCAAACCTCCTTCCCTCACTCTCATAGCTATCCCATATAAATCTGCTTCTCCTTTGGAGGGACCATGAGGAGAAGAGGCTCTAGTCCTGGGTCCTGCAAGACCACCATCAGAGGCTCTCTTCAGGTGGGAGGGGAGCAGTGGAGATGTTAGGCCACAAAACAGCCTGTGTCTGCAAGAGTTGTCAAGGTAACTGGATTTGGGCTGGTGGAGGGATGGGATTTGAATTTTTTTCTTTTCTTTTCTGCTTGTTCTTTCATCTAGTAAAAATGCAGGATTCCTGTGGTGCCAAGACTTCTACATTCTAGGTTGGGGGCAGGTTGGAGGGGGGCCTCAGGACTCTCCCATTCTTATGACAGCAGGTGCCCTGCTGCATACAGACCCCATGGCCTCCACACAGCAGGTGACCTTCCAGAGCTTACCTGAGTCCGTAGGCCCACCTGGGAAGCCAAATCTTCCAAGAGTACAACCTTGGATTGCTACAGGGGAGGGAGAAAATGGGAGAGAGAATGAGTTTGGGCTAATCCCTTCTAACATGGAGATATCCTCTTAGGTCTGCATTCTGATTTACGGTTTTCAAAAAGGATTTTTGTTGATGGTGTCTTCCCCACACTGCTGGGAATATACTACCACTGAAGCACATTCCCAGCCCCTAAAAAGCTCTTTTTTAATAGTACTAGGGAGTGAACCCAGGACCACACACATGCTAGGCAAGTATTCCACCACTGAGTTACATCCCATCCCTTTTTAAATTTAATTTTTGAAGCAGGGTTTGGCTATAGTGCCCAGGCTGGCCTCAAACTGGAGACCCTCCTGTCTTAGCCTCCCAAGCAGCTGGGATTACAGGTGTGCACCACTGTGCCAGCCACTATTTTTAAGAACTGTTACCAATACTTTCGTTTGCTCAGGACCTAACAAGGCACTGAAAGGATGCAGGGAAATAATGGTAAACAAAACACAGCTCCTACCCTTGAGCTCACAGCCCAGCTGGTGAGAAAGGAAGTACATGAATAAGGAAAGAGGAGACAAAGACCCCCAATGAGCCAGGACCTCTCAGTAGACCCAGTGGGGGTTCATTCCTGCCTCACCTTTGCTCCTACCCCCTCACCCTGGATCCCCCCACAACTCTGGCATGCTGAACTTATCCTCACCCATCTTCTTCACACCATCTGAGGCACGGAGCCCACCCTCAAAATAACTGTCACTAACACTGACAAGTGTTTTCCATGTGCAGCTCCATGGCATGTTCCACGTGCTGCCCACACACCCTCAGTAAACCTTAGTTTCCAGGGTGCAGCCAAGAATCCACAGCTGGGTATACACATGCATCTGCCCCTGCCTCCCCCAGAGAGAGCATGTGACTGAAGAGAAGGTGGTCCCCTGCATTTCTGTGAATCTTCCAAAGCAAATGAGCTGGGGGAGGAGTGACACTGTGAACCTCCCTGATTGCAGATGACATGTGACTTATTTGAAATGCCAAACTGTATGTGCAAGCAGGAAGGCCAGGGAGTGGGCAAGCAAAAGGTGACCTGGTCAGCTAGCCTCTGTCTAAAAAACAGGGAACAGGCACTGGATTCTTGGTGATAGCTCAGAACTTGACCACAAATCATACCACGTGGTCCTCAAAGACCTGGCTTGAAGTTCTGCTGGAGCTAAAAGTGTATTAAAAAAAAATAAACAAACCCAGTCATGATCAGAAAGTGGAATGGAACAACAAGAGCAAACTATCCCTAAATCTCTATAAACTATGCTATGTGCAGAAACCTTCCTCTGGTTTTAAAATCCTAAGTCTAATGAGCCCAACCCCTTGGAGTGGGGAGGAAGGTGGGTAGACTGAATTTCAGAAGTCCCCCTTCTTGCTGCAAGACAGCAACTTCAGGAGAATCACCCAGTGTAGGCTTAAGAACTCATAAGCTCCAGAAGAGTTTAGAGAATCCCCAAGAATGGAACCTCCAGGGAAGCACTGAAAGCAAGAACCAGAACTGCCTTGGGGACTTTCTTCTAGTCTATACAGTGGTGAGGGGGATGCTAAAGCTGATCCCCCCATCTAAATTCACCTGGAAAGGGTCCAAGAGGAGGCATTTTAGGACTGTCGCTGCCCACTGGGTTGATGGAGACAAGTTCTTAATAGTAGCAAGACAGTGGGAGAGATATATCCAGGGCAATAACCCTGGATCAAGTGGTGATAGGCTCGAGAAAGGGCTCCATCAAAGAAAAATGCTTCAAGCTCTCAGCATTTCTCCCTACTAGAGACCCCAGACCATAGGCCCATGCCCAGACTCTCACTGTTGGGAGGTGTCTAAACCCTGCTCTCTTTTAGGAGTGATGGAGGAGGATTATGCAAGACCCAACTCCTTGGCAGCCCCTGGTACCACCCCCACTATCGCCCCCGCTCCCTCTGCACTCCTTCCCTCAGCCGCCTCTGCACCTCTGAGCTGCACTTGAAAACCTCTCCCCTCACCACATCCTTTGTGGGAGAGAAGTTGCTTAGCAGCAAAGCAGATCAGGATGTGCTTATGCAACCTGAAGCAGCATCAGGGTGGACTGCATGGTGGCTGCAGATGGAATCGACACAATGCCACCCTACTCCAGGTTACAAGGGAAATGTCATCCTGTTTCCCTTGGAAGACCCAAGTTCCCAGTCAGGAGCACATGGCAGAGGACGCTTGTTTTAACTCGGTGTGACAGAACTGGCAGAAAACACACGTGAAGAGACTTGAAAACACAGTGACTCACTAAGCGTGGGGTCTGAAGAGCAGGGGAACTGTCAAACTCCAGCGTGAGGAAGCTATCAGAGGTTTGCACCTCCCACACAGACACAGGTCCTTCTCCCTCTTCTGGGTCCAAGGAGAAGGGACTCCCCTAGCCAGGACTCAATAGTTCAGACCCACTGGGCCCCATGCCCACTCCTGCATAAGCTTGAATAAGTCATCCTCAAACCCTGCTCAGGTCTGAAAAGGTGTGCATGCACATGCATGAGACAGGGTGTCACCTGTACTGTTCTGTGGCTTCTTACCTTAATGTAGTTGATAAATTCTGTCAGGAAGCTGTGGGACTAGAGGAATAGAAAAATCAGGGTGGAGTCACAGAAGTCCATGCCTGACCCCCACTGTGTGTATACTCTCTGCTCACCTGCCTACAGCCTGTCTGTGTGCCTGCCCGATTACTGCCCTGCATGAGCAGCAGATCCTCCCAGGTGAACAGTCTGGGGGCATCACTCTCCACAGAGGACAAGGCCTCTTGCTGCAAAGGCCTATTAACACTCACACAAACTCTCATATCCCAATTGGAGGTGTTTGCCAGTGAAGTGGTCAACCCTGAGCCTCACATAGGCTGCCCTTATGACACAGGCTTCTCAGGGGTGGTGGGCTTACCTGCTCCTCAGTCATGGTCTCACCCACACCCTCCTCCTCCACCACAAAGGCTTCCTTCAGTTTCAGGTACTCCTCATGCTCCCGCCGGGCCTGTTCTTCCTGGGCCTTTCTCTCCTCCTCCTCCTGAGGACACAGAGGACAAAGAGTCAGGTATTTGGGGTAGATGCCCACCTATCCTGTTCTGGTCCCTGATGCCCAGTAGGGTACCAGGGCATACAGCTCAGCAGTTTCTCAGGGACAGAGCTCCTTTGAGATCCCCAACCCGACCCCTCTTGTCTTAGTCCATTACCATTCAGACAAATGGTACCCTCCTTACTCAGGAGATCTACTTAGTAAAAATCTCTTGAAAACCCTTCCACAATCATGTCCAAACTTCATGAACAAATATCAGGCTCCATTTCCGCACCACCCATGCACCAGCCAGCCCACTCCAATCTGGTTTTTATGTACCAAGCTCCACTGAAACATCTCCTGCTGTTGTCTCACCTCTGACTTCCATCTCACAAATCCCTCAATGGCGATGGGAATAGCCAACTATCCCCTCTTTCTTCACTCAATTTCCACACCCCCACCTTTGCCTGGATTTTCTCCTGCTCCCTAGACATTCATTCTTGCCTCCTTCATCATTCAGCCCAGCCCCTGCTCTACCCTTTACTCTGGCTGGGCTACCTCACCCAGGCCCAGCATTGACAACCATTTCCTCACCAGTGACTGTCACATTTGTACTCCCAACCAAATCTCTCCTCCCAAATATATAACTGCCCAATGACATACCACCTGGGCCATCTCACAGGTACCAAACCCACCCTGTGGTCTACTTGCCACATCTGGTCTTCCTGCTAGGTCTCTGGCTGGTGAATCACACAACTACCTGGCCAGCTGTCCTGGTCAGAAATGAGGTGCCATCTACCACCTCTTTCTCTAACTTCCACAGAACTCTTCAGTACATCCATATTACTGTCACTACCTAGTGCAACAGCCTCTTCCCAATACAACCCAAACTCAGAAAACAGAGCGCACAGAAAAGTGTTTTTAAAATATGATGCTAAAACCAAGTATAGGGTTCATGCCTGTAATCCCAGATATTTGGGGGAGGGGCAAGGTAGAAGGATCACAAGTTTGAGAACAAACTGGACTTTGTAAGAGCCTATCTCAAAATAAAAAATGAAAAGGAATGGGGATATAGCTCAGTGGAAGAATGATTGCCTAACATGTGCATGGCCATGTATTCAATCCCCAGCACCACAAAAAAAGTTTAAAAAAAAAAAACATGAAGCTAAAGCCAGGGCAAATAATAATATATAAGACAATGAGCCTAGAGCACCTTGCAGCAACAGAAAGAAAGTGCTAAAAAACAAACAAAAGGACTGGGGATGTAGCTCAATGGTAGAGTACTCGCCTAGCATGTGCAAGGCCTTGGGTTTAATCCCCAGCACAACAAATAAATAAATAAATAAAAGTACTTCTACCTAATTCCTGAGGGGTACTCCTTTCAGGCAGATAAAGCGTAACTCCCTACCCTTGGAGGCTGAGCACAAGTCTTTTTTGATTTGTTTTGTTTCTGTGACACTGGGGATTGAACCTAGGGGTGCTCAACCACTGAGTTACACCCCCATTCCTTTTATTTTGAGACAGGGTCTTGGTAAGTTGCCCCATTTCCTATGACCCTTTCCCTCTCCTCCATGCTTACTATATTCCAGCCACTCTGACTACCTCAATGTTTCTCAAATGTTCCAGGCATACTCTATAAATTATATAAATAAGAATCCTCATCTCGGGCCAGGAACAGTGGCACTCGCCTGTAATCCCAGCAACTTGGGAAGCTTTTGCAGGAAAATTGCAAGTTTGAGGCCAGTCTCAGAAATTTAGCAAGACCTTTAGCAGCTTAGTGAGATTCTGTCTTGAAATAAAAAAGAACTGTGGATGAAGCTCAGTGGTAGAATGCCCCTGGGTTCCACCTCCAATACAAAAAAAAAAAAAAAAAAACTGGGCACAGTAAGGCATGCCTGTAATCCCAGTTGGCTTGGGAGGCTGAGGCAGGAGGATTGCAAATTCAAAGCTAGCCTCAGCAATTTAGCAAGGCCCTAAGCAACTCAATGAGACACTCTCTCTAAATAAAATATTTTTTAAAAGGGCTGGAGATGTAACTCAGTGGTTAAATTCCCCAGGGTTCAATTCCCAGTACCAAAAAAAAAAAAAAAAAAACACACCAAACAAACAAAATCCCAACTCAAGCTCTGCTTTTTAGCAACATCTTCCACATTTAGAGGCCAGGAACAAAATAAATCAGGGTATGCCCATATGCCTGGTCCACAGCCCTTCTTCTAGGATAGAGGTGCTAGGGAGTTGCATGGGAAGCATGGCTGGCTAGTCAAGGGTCAGAGGACAGGATCAGTCTCAGTCTCACCTTCTGTTCCTCCTCCAAGCGAAGCCGCTCCTCCTCCTTCTTCCACTCAGCCTCACGTTGGGACTCTAGACGTTTCCGCTCTTCACGTTCAGCCTCCTCTGCCTAAAGACAAAACCTTCATGGGGCACCCCATACAGTTTGCCCCACTTCCAGACAGGTAGGGGAAGGCAGTACTTGGGCCAGGGCAAAGACCAAGACTGCAGGAGACAGAGCAGTATTCAGCAGTCCAATGTAAAAGGAGCCCAAGGGTAGAGTCTGCTGAACAGTGGCCCTTTTCCATTTCCCAGAGCTACACCCCATCCCTCCTGCTTGCCTCACGCTGGGCTTTTCGAGCTTGTTTCTCCTCTAACTTCCGTAGTTTCTTGGCTCCAATTTTCCCTGTCAGATGAGTTTCCACTGGCTTCTCAATGTCTTCTTCCTCCTGGGCTGGGTATGGTTAGAGGAAGATAGTTCAGGTCCTAGCTAGAGGGGATTCATCCTACCCCTTGTCACTCTCCTCATGAATGAACCCCATCCACCCACCTATGAATGTTACTAGTCCAGCTCTGCCATACTGAGGCATCTACCATAAAATCATGTGTGCGCGCACGCATTATGCTGCGGGTGGGAGCATCTGTAAGGATGAGACTTTAGATAATGTACACATGTAAAAGGGAGATGCCAATATCTGGGTGTCTGAGGATCACAGGTGGTGATGAGATTGCAGAGGACCTTGGTTTCTATCCTGGTGCCACCTCCAGGAAAGGACAGCCCTGTGGGGAAATTTATCCCAGTCTCAAATCCAAAATTCTCTCATTCTAGTCAAGAATTATTAAGCATTCAGGGCTTAGACCCTGGCCAGGATTATCCCTTTGTCCTAATAGAACCAAGGTAAACATACAGTCCCACCCCCCTGACTACCCAAGAGCAAGCTTAAAGTTAAAGACATGCTTTTTTATGAGCAGTATGGGTATCTGAGACAAGAGGGATGACACAACAGAGGACCTTTTTTGAGTCCAAAGGGCTAACCTCAAGGATTCAAGGCAAAAGTCCCAAATGCCCCAATTTCAAGGAAAGGCCCTGATATCCCTTCTTCAGGCTCAAACCAGCACTTAAGTACTAGAGAAAAGGCATTCTTTCCTACAATCCTAAAGGCTCTGATCTCCTGGCACCAGGGATATGGAGACCTCTATGTCAAGAGAATGCTTCTATTCCCAAACCCTTCTTCTTGGGTTACAGGTAACTGCACTCCAAGAAGGGCACTGGGATATAATAGATGGATTACGGAACTCTCAGGGTCAGTCTAAAGGCCCCTGACCTCCTGTGTTTAGATACTGAAAGCCAAGATGAAGGAAGAGGAGGTTAACCAAATAGAATAGTCAGGGACCAGTTAGAGACCAGAACCAAAGTCTGGGTCCTAAGTGTCCATTCACTCTACCCCATGTCTCTCTTACACTGTGGCTTCACACTCCACTCTCCCACTTACCCCATCATCAATCCAGCCCTCTTCACTACCAAGCTGGGCCCCTCTCACCTGGGATGACAGCTTCCTCCTCATTCTCATCCACTTCTGTCCAGGCTATCCGCTGGGCTCGACGCTGGGCCTGCAGGCGGCTGCCCAGGTCCCTCCTGCGCCGGGGCCTGCCTCCAGCCCTCTGTTCCTCAGGCTGCAGAGGCCGATACTGGGCCACCTGGTCTGCTATTATTGGATCCTCTTCATTGTGCAGTGACCCTGGACCAGCTTCAGGAAGAGAGGAACCAGGACAGTTGGAGCAGCTCAGCCCCCTTGATAGCCCAGGAAGCAGTATCCTAGACGCCTCACCCTCCTCTGTTCAACCTCCTCCCAGACTCTCACTGCCCATTGCACAAAGCCCCAACTTCACAGTCTGATTGCCAAGGCCTTTACAACTGGGCCCACGCCTTGGTCCAATATAGTAAGCTCAAGCCTTCCCTCATGCCTGATTTTGATACTTCTCTCCCCTCAAGGCTCACCTCTCCTGCAAGCTTGGGAGAAATCCACCCTGATTTCATCAAATGCCCATTTCAGGACTTCAATTATTTTTTAACACCACCTATCATGACTTTTTTTAATATTTATCTTTTAGTTGTAGTTGGACACAATACCTTTATTTCACTCATTTATTTTTTTTATGTGGTGCTGAGGATCGAACCCAGGGTCTGGCGCGTGCGAGAGGAGCGCTCTCCTGCAGAGCCACAACCCCAGCCCTTTGTGATTTTATTTTTAAAATAGTTATTTAAAATAATTATAAACTACAGGTCTGAAGGAAAAAAAATACAACACAATTTATTTAAGTGAAAGATTTGGTCTTCCACCTCCCCTTAATAATGTCACAGATACAGTACGAACTCTGCTGGTTAATTCCACCCCATTCCCTCCCCTGAGATAACTTCCATTCCAAAGTTGGTGTGTGTCATTTCTCACCATCTCTGACACCCCAGACTCAGTCTCTACATTTCTCAGGCAGAGGCTGAGTCTCCCCTCCCTGGAAAATCTGTTGGATATGTGCCATACCTCAGATTCTCTCTCCCCTGAACTTGGAGCACCCAAGTGCTCTCAATAGCTGGTGGGTTCGGGGAGCAGGGAAGAGACACATATACAAATTCCTATGTTGACAAGAGATGCGGGGAGGGGAACTGACAACTTATCTGTTCTGTGTCCTGGCCAACCATATGGCCTGGTCAGTGTGCAGAGCATGGCAGAGGAAAGGCCAAGGCAGCACGGCTGCTCTACTTGGCGGGGAAGGAGAGGGCTTCAGAGAGTTTTCTTGAGCCACCTCCAGCTCCCTTCAGTTCCGGGTAGGCAGAAAACACCCAGAAGTCTCCTCCCTGGCAGCCAACAGGGAGCCAGTTTGAGAGATGGGAAACACTGTGGCCTCCCTATGGGCGCAATGGGAACTGGTCCAGAGCCCCCTGGGTGTGGAGGTCTAGAGTGCCAAGGGGCGAGGCTCTCAGGTTTGGGAGAAAAGTGTAGGGGCGAGGCCACGCAGTTCCCTATCAAGGAGGCTCGGTGGTTCCCGTCTACTCGCTAGCCCGCGCCCGAGTTCCGCGTCAGCCTCACAAGCAGGCCGGCGCATGCGCAGCAGCCGTAGGCAACGGCCTACCGAGGCTGAGAAGGCCAGAGAACCAGGCCCCACCGGTCCTGGAGCGGCGGCACCTCCTACCTGCTACCGCTCTGCCACGACTGCGAGTGAGGAAGAGTATAAGGCCGACAAGCAGAGCCGCCGCCACCAGATACACCACGGGCGCCACCATGACGACGACCTCCCAGCAGAACACCAGCGCGTCCAAGGTGAGGCCTGTATCACCCAGGCCCCGCCCACTGCCCATAAGGCTCTCCCGTTTCCCACGTTAGGCTCCGCCCTCTCTTCCATGAGGCGCAAGGGCTGGACATTTCGCACAGGCTTTAATTTCTATATTTTAAAATGGGTTATACAGCCCGGCGTGGTGGCTCATGCTTATAATCCCAGCAGCGTGGAAGGCTGAGACAAGAGGATTGCGAATTCAAAGCCAGCGCCAGCAATTTAGCAAGGTCGCTAAGCAATTTAGCAAGATCTGTCTCTAAAATTTTTAAAAAGGGTTAGCGATGGGCTCGGTGGTTGAGAGCCGCCCCCCCCAATTCAATCCTTGGTACAGGGCTGCGAGTAGCTCAGCAGCAAAGCGTTTGCCTCACATTCGCAAACCCTGGGTTCCATCCCCAGTTCCAAAAAACAAATAACAAAAAAAGGGCAATTCCTGGTACAAAACAAATTTAAAAAAAAAAAAAAACAAGTTATAGGAGAGCCAGCGGCGGGAGGGGGTGATGCATTCCTATAATTCCAGCAACTTCGAAGGCTGAGACAAGAGGACAGCAAGTTGGAGGCCAGCCTCAGCAATTTAGCAAGACCTTGTAAAAAGGGCCAGGGATATAGTTCAGTGGTGGTGTGCCCTTGGGGTCAATCCCCAGAATCACTAAATAAATAAGTAAAATAAAATGAATTAAAACACTCATGATGCTAATTATTGGGAAGTTATCACAAAAGTAGGAAACATTTAGGCACGATTTTTTTAAATCACCAAGGTTGAGAATGTGGCTCAGTGACAAAATGCTTCCTGGCATGTGTGAGAATCCAAGTTCAATATCCAGCATCAGAATAAGTAAGTTAATTAATAAAATATACCACACTATTTATATAAACAAACAAATGTGGAAAAAATGCAAAAATATACTTAGGATGTCACACATCAACTGGAATGGAAGTTACCTCTGGGAAGGGAATGGGGTGGGATTAATCAGCAGAGTTTTGGCTGTACTTGTGACATTTGATTTCTTTAAAAGGGGAAGAAGGGGAGAGAACAAATTTTTCATTTAAATAGTGAAGTATTTTCTTTCTCAGACCTGCAACTTTATAACTATCCAAAATAAAATTAGTTTTATTAGGTTATACAATAATTAGTAATCCAGTGTTACCTAGTGAGAATTTGGTATTCCCACAGGGAATTAAAATTTCCTGTTAAGTCTTCAGGACCTAAAAAAAAAAAAAAACTGGGGACAAATTATACCTCAGTAATTAAAAACAAAACAAAACAAAACAGGACAGGCTGGGCATGGTGGTGCATAGCTGCAATCCCAGCAACTGAGGCAAGAAGATTTCAAGTTCGAGACTATCCTCAGCAACTTAGCAAGACCCTGTCTCAAAATAAACAATAAAAAATATTGGGAATGTGGCTCATTGGTTAAGCACCCCTGGGTTCAACCCCCAATACCAAAACACACAAAAAACAAAACAGAACAGGTTGTGAACTGAAATTTTTTTTAAAAAGCAAAGAACTAACTGAATGGGGTATCACATCTATAATCCCAGTTACCCTGGATGGTGGAGCAGGATTGCAAAATTGAGACCAACTCTGGTGAAATTTAGTGAGATCCTAGATCAAAATTAAAAAAAAAAAAAGTTTAGGGATGTAGCCCAATAGTAAAGAGCCCCTGGCCTCAATCCTGGTACTGGGAATTAAAAAAAAAAAAAAAAAGCAACTATACTGGGAATTTGCTATTATAGCAGGATATGTGCATATAATGACATAAGATAGGAGCAGGGCTAAGCAGGGAATTTGAAAAAAAATATATGGCAATGAGGCTGGGGTTGTAGTTCAACGATAAGAGCATATGGCTCTGGATTTAATTCCCCGTAACTGGGGCAGAGTAGAGGATAAAAGTTGGCAACATGTGCTGGGGGTGGTGGGGCACACCTGTAATCCCAGCAGCTCAGGAGGCTGAGGCAGGAGGATCATGAGTTCAAAGCCAGCTTCAGGAAAAGTGAGGCACTAAGCAACTCAGTGATACCCTGTCTCTAAATAAAATACAAAATAGGACTAGGGATGTGGCTCAGTGGTCAAGTGCTCCTGAGTGTTCAATCCCCAGTACCTCTCTCTCTCTCTCTCTCTCTCTCTCTCACACACACACACACACACATACACACACACACAAAGATAAAGTGGTAAACAAAAACATATGTGGCTTACCATGATGATTTTTGGAGAACAGGTATTAGCTTTTCATCACTGTGACCAAAATACCTAACAAGAACAATTTTGAGGAAGAAGAGTTTATGTTGGCTCCCAGTTTCAGAGGTTCAGTCCATGGTCAGCTGACTCCATTGCTCTGAGCCTGAGTTAGGCAGAACATCATGGTGGAAGGTGTGGAGGAAAAGCTGCTCAGTCCATGACAGGAAATGGTGATTGATAAACCCAGTCTGATTCCCTCTTAAAATTGGGAACCGTCTCGCTACAAAGACATAAAAGCTAATTTCGGCTTTACTATAAATTACTGCAAATTCTGAACTTGCTTGGAATGCCTGCCTGCCTGTGCCTGGAACTCACCCATGCATGGCTTTCCCTGACCAGATAACAACTCTCTCTGAGGCTCTAATGACTTTCATAAGTTCTGATGTCAGGCCAGCAAAAATATAAACTAGCCTTTGTGTTATGCTTGTCAGAGTTTTGTTATCTGTAACACCCTCCCCCCTTGTGTAACTTTCTGGGCTATAAAGCTGGGCTGCAAGAAAACTGCGGTGCTGTCTTGTTCCCGTGGTTTATGTTGGGAGAGGCAGCCCGCCGGTCAAAATAATAAGCTTGCTTTAATTTGATTTTAATTGGAGTCAGTGGCCTTTTTTTTTCCCGTTGAGTTCTAACAATGATCACAAGAAGCCAGGGAAAAATAATATATAATCCCCATCATACCCCCTTAGTGATCCACCACCTCCAGCCACATCCCACCTGCCTGCAGTTAACACCAGGAACCCATTCAAATTGTTACTCCATCAAATGGATTAATTCACTGTAAGGTTATATATCTCATAATCCAATCATTTTTCTTTCTGCATTAACACAGGAACTTTGGGGGGACACCTCATACTTAAACCATAACAAGGAAGAAACAAAATAAAAACACAAATGATTATGAATCTGCAGAAAGGATATTAGTATTCCTAGGGAAGGCCAGTGTTATAAAAGCAAATAAAAGTTGCCAGGCATGGTGGTGCACACCTGTAATCCCAGTAACTAGGGAGGCTGAAGCAGGAAGATTTCAAGTTCAAGGCCAGCCTCAGCAATTAGGAAGACCATAAGCAATTTACTGTGACCCTGTCTCAAAAAAAAAAAAAAAAAAAAAAAAAAAAATTTAAAAGGGCTGGGGATGTGGCTCAGTGGTTAAGTGCCCCTGGGGTCAATCCTGGGTACCAAACCGGGAGTAGTGGTTGGGGGGAGTGAATAAAGGGAAGCTGAAACTTGAGCTCGCTGAGATCCAAGGAAGGCATGCGGATGGTGTGGGACCTGTCTTCTTCTCAGGATGCTTGGGCTAACTGATGTCTTCCAGACCCTCCTCTGCTCCAAAATTCTCAAAAGCCACTCCTCTAAGGGCTTTGCAGAGAATAAATGTTTAGGGGTTTCTGCCTCAATAAAGAGAGCAGGTCACCAATCAAAGCAGTGGTTCTCACTCTAATGAGCATCAGAATAACCTGAGGAATTCGTTATCAACACAGACCAGCCAGACGCAGAGTGCATGCCTGTAATCCTAGCCACTCTGGAGACTGAGACAGGAGGACACCTCTGTCTGCAGTGCAGTGGCCATGGAAAATGAATGATGGGTTTGAAAGGCTGGAGAGATGAGAGAACCAGAGAGTCAAAATACTGAGTTCCCAACACTGCGAGATGGGGAAAAACAAAACAAAACGAACAAAAAAACGGGCTTGCTTTAGGTTGCGCCAAGGTTAAGTTCACAGTAAGCATTTCTGAGATGGTCGGCAAAGAGGAACTCAAGGAGTGGGACTGAAAGTAAAGTAAGGAAAAAGGGCTTGGGAGCCATTGCCTAGGAGCCGGTTCTCTGGGACAGACTTGAGCCCACAAAGAGTGACAGCCGCCCAGGGCACAGGGCTGCAGCTCATCAGCAGCCACATTGGTTCTTTGCTTTTCTTGGTGCCCGGGTCCGTGGTCCCTCAAACTCAGCACCCGAAGCTCCCGATAATTTGGGAACAAAAGGTGCCGCGCCATTCTGCTCACTACTAGCGCCAGGCGTTCAAGCTGCTCATTTGGAAGAAGCTATTCATCTGTGCAAGGATTCCTGGCGTTCAGCGGCGGACACAGCGTTTCTCCAACCCCGAAACAGGATGTACCCGCCACCCGAGATACGCCTCCGGATCCCCAATTCAGCCGGAAACCGAGCCTCCCACTTCCGTCTCCAGCCGGAAGTATCTTTCGACTTCAGGCAAATGGGCTTCCGGGAGCGCTGAGCGGATACCCGGGCTCGTCATGGCAGCCTCCTTGACCGGGAAGAAGATCGTGTTTGTCACGGGGAATGCCAAGAAGCTGGAGGAGGTGCCAGGAGGGTGTGGGGAGCTGACCGGGAGGTGGCTGGGAATAGGGCTGAGATGGGGTTTCCAGGCGAGGGAAGCATGCAGAGGAGGCGTAGAGGGAGAACAAGAGTTGGCCCGCTGGGAAGCGTGGGTCAGGACCTGACCGTCTGCAAGGCGTTGGGGAACCAGGATGGGACCGCGGCGGAGTGGGGGCTCCCTGAGAGTTGAAGGGATGAACGTTTTGACAGACCTCAGAGCTCGTCAGGTCAGGTGCTTCGGGGTCCGGGGGAGTGGCGAGGCCCTTAGCACAAGTCTCAAAGTTCTCCTCTTTTATCTAGACCCACACTGGAGCCCCGAGATCTCACTTGTATCTCTAAGACAAATCTAGATGCTGCTGCTGATTTGGAGGTGCAGGGATCCAGAGAGGGCGTGGATGGGGACTCAAACTGAGCAGGCCATGCCCCACTACGATCTAGAAGCACTCTTAGCCAGTTTTGGCTTTTGT